TATATATATATATATATATATATATATATTATAGTAGATTACTAGGATGGGGGAAAGCCTTCCCCTTGGGCCGCAACCCTAACCTAATCACAAGGTTCAACAGACCCTCTACTCCACCTAGTTGTATCGGTGAGCCCTAACACAGCCGGTTCAACCCAGGTGAGCCCCCAAAGCCCTGCGTCAACCTCCCGGGGTTGGGAGAGCTTTGCCTTCTTTCGTTGAAGCTCCCGTCTGTATGTTTTCTGTGATGGAGTTGTTGCGACCCCCCCCAGGGTTGAAGGCTCTTTGAATGCGACTCTAAAAGCTTTTGGATCTCACTGAAGATTACACTGTCTCCCAAAACACTTGAGGAGCCTTCCTCATTTGCAAGTGGCGATTCATATTGATCCAATCTTCTGAGAGCTCATTACTAAACTGAAGTGGATCTGCCTGTCACGCCTATACTGCTGAATTCTCTGAAAATAACTCAAGGTTGGCTCAACCTGATCTGAAGTGAGGGTAATCTGAATCTTCCTGAATGGTGGTGGCCACATCGGTAAGGTATCGATTGTGATTTTCTGAAATGCTCTCTGTTGTGATTGTTGCATGTCTTGAATTGACGCCTCGGTCCTGTCATTCTCTGTCGTCACCAAAATTGATCTCACTGACGCTTCTCTAATGGCAAGGAGGGCTTTGCAGAAGGTAGAAGGACGATGCGCTTACTATCCTTGGTGAAAAAGTATGTATTTTTGAACTCATCATGTTGAGTTCTACTGTCAAATTGTCTTGGTCTCCTCAATATAAGGTGGCAGACATCCATGAACATCACGTCACACCATACCTGATCATTTAGTTGGCTTTCAATTTAAACTGTGCTATACGCCTCTTGTCAATGTTGACCCTGTTCTTCTTCTTCAAACATATCAGAGAATACGGTTGGGATGCGTCTGAGTTATGAATTCAATTTCTTCACCATCTACGTAGAAGCTGCATTTTTATTACTCATTCCATCAATGATGATACTTCATACATTTCCTTACATAGTGAAACATGTGTATAATATTTTATGGCGAAGTCACTACGGTTCTCTTGCATCCTCAGTTTGTAGAACCCATTGAACCACAAATATCTCTTTCTAATCTGGTGGAAATGGTACTTCTTACCATATTCTTCAGTTGTCTCTTCGTCATTAACCTCCTCCACTGCACCCTGCTCGGTAAACGACACAACTCGACTCGTCTGGTGACTGAAGGTGATGTGCTTAAATCCATGGCATCTGAAACATTTTTTGGGTTGGGATTTTAGTGTGAATGGCTATGTCTTTATCCTGGCTAATCTTCTTAACTCCTTAAGTTGTGCTCCTGCTGGTGTCTCCAACTTCGGGTGACTGTTTGAATGGTGGTGGTTGTTTGTTCTGTTTCTGCTATCTCTTAACTTTTAATATCAAGGTTTGGACATCTCATTGACCAATCTGGTTGCAGTTGAACAACATTGCTAATAGTGGGCTTTAGGCCCCCCATATATCGAGCTATGGAATATTCCTGACTCGACCAACTCACATTTCATCTGCAACTGGTCAAACTATGTTATGAACTCCTACACTGATAGTTCTCTCTGTTGTAGGTGATTGAGTCTCAGAAACATATTTTGACGGTAATGAGGGGGTGAGTATTTTCTTTGCATCTCCTTCCTCATCTTTTCTCACCTAGTAATCTTGTCATTGCCCTCACTCCTTTTTTGCCTCTATAAGCTTTACAACCATATGAAGGCGTTCTTTTTCAATTTCATAGACAAAAACTTCACCCTCTTATCTTCTTATTCTTTTTTGTACTCGAAGATTCTCTTAACTGATTGCAACCATTTGATGAAATCATCTGGATCCATACCTTTATCGAACTCCGGTAGAGATTCACTTTAATTATGAAATTTTTGTTCTTCATATATCGTCTCCTCTTTGAGCCTCTGATAATAAATTCCTAAATGTCATAATATATCCTACTCATCACCTAAATCCTCCCTATGGAAGGGATTTATAGTCTCGTCCCTCTCTACCCTTCGACTTTCCATATCACTGTCGAGGGTAATTTTTCTTGGAGCCCCGTGAGCAATCTCCATGAGCCTCTGTTGTCTTGACGGATCTCTCGTTGTATGTCTTCAGGCTCAGGCTTGGTAGCATGATTAAGGTTTGGGTTTATGAAATTGGAAGAGGCTGTATGATAGCAGGAAAGAAAAATTTTTGTGGTGGAGATGATTTGTGTAGGTGGGTGCTAGGAAATCATAAGATAGAATCAGTGTTAAACTAGCTCTGGTACCAATTGATGCTTAACCAAAACCCATAGTGGAATGAAAATATTATTGCTAACAATCAAATGGGGATACAACCAAGACACTTGAAAACAGGAAAAAAAAGACAACACAAAACATAAAACTAGGATATAGGTCGGGGTGGTGGTGGTGCTGTGGTTTGAGGGAGAATGTTGTCGATGGCTGCCTGATGGAAGGACAACTAACTGATGACGGTTTGGATGGGTTAAGGGGGTGGATGGAGGAAGGTTGGATTCTGGGTAGCAGTAGGGATGGATGAAAGCTGGCAATTTGCGGTTGTTGTAGGGACGGGTGAGGGTAGGCAGTTGGGTTATAGAAGGGAAGGATGGCTGGTGGCTGGGTTATGATGGAGGAAGATGAAGGTTGGGCTGGCGAGATGTGGGAAGCAGGAAAACATTGCAGGAAAATGGTCCAGATTGTCCTGCGATTGCAGCAGGGAGAAGTTACGACGACATTGGAAGTGATCTTGTGGAGGATGGGAAAGTCAAGGATAATCACCACCTCATAATGAGATGTGGCTGGAGCACTACTCGCCCTTGAAGACAACCCCAAAAGGGAGAACTTGATATGCCGACGACTATCCTGACATGAAACACAAGCAAAACTAAACCCTAATCAAATAAAACAACGTATATGTTACAACAGATAACTAGGAAGGGAGGGACCCCTTCCCTTGGGCGGCATCCCTAACCCAAGCACAAGGATTGGCAGGCTCTCTACACCTAGTTGAACTGGTCAGCCTTAACCAAGCCAGTTCAGCCCAGGTGAGCCACCAAAGCCCCACGTCAGTGTGTGTGCTCACTCTCCAATGAACACCCTCCTCATGTGATGGCTTGATCAACCGTTGGAAGGCACACGTCCGCTCAATTATCTAATTCCTTTAATGCATTCGTGTCTGTAATTGCTTGAATCGTCCTCTAAGTGTGAGCAACTGCGATGTAGCCCTTCAAGTCAACTTAGAATAAGGGTTTTCACCTCCCATTAATAAGAATTGTAATTAGAATTCATATGAAAAGGGAAATTGTTTACCAATTCGTACGGATGACCATTTCGTACGGATGTTTTTTTTTTTTTTTGGACTTTTTGTTGTGAACCCTTCTTTACAAGGAATCTCATGTGCAAGGCTCATACTCTTAGTGCAGAATTTAACATTAGTATATGATTTGTTGAAGAGGTTGGAGGAGAAGTTAAATGACTAACTTCAACAAAAAACGTATGCCAACTTAGGTTTCGTCTCATGGATCATTATTTTTCATTCATTTATCAAGTGCTGTACAAGGGTTAACTTTGTTATTGCAAGTCTTTTTTTTTTAAACACCGATAATGAGGGATTGCCATTCCTGAGTTTCTATGTTAATATATGGGAGGTAAATTAGGTCACACTTTTCTAAAGATGTTTTGTTATATTTTTGGTAGTTCTATCTTAGCGAAGAGCCGTGTTATTCTATTTATTCAACAAGCCCAGATTGGGATAGTTTTGGTAGGTTTTTGTGGCCTGCAAATCCAAACCTGTATTAACCTTCTTTCAATTCAGTCTAAACCCAGTTTGGACTACGTTTCAGTTTCTTCTTTGCTTTTTGTTTGCATGTAAATTCTTGCATACATGCAATAAAATTAAATATCTATGCTTATTTTAAATATAGGTGATGCAATTGTAGGATCTGAAAATTCACTATCGCACCCAGGAACAACTCTCTGCATTTATTTTCATTTTGAGAGAGTGAACTTTGGGTGGTCAAATTTTCAGAAGGCAGATTGGATTATAGAGAAGACATTACTCAGAGATTGCACCCTTATTTTGCAATAACTTTTTGATATGGGGATCGAGGTTTCCTACAGGCGCAAGTCTCTATGGTTAATTGTCCCTCCTGATAACGGGAGAGCACTTTCGGTTAAGGCTAATCATTAAGAATTGAGTAGTCATCATATAATAACAATAGACTTAGAATTTCAATTTTAAAATTCACCACTTAATGCTTAAAGCGAAAGGTGGGGAAATGAAGACGAAACCCGATCAAGATCCCATAGTTCCATCATCTCGGGCCGTCATGGTTCTTGATCTAACCTGACAGAAGGTTCCTTGTCAGCAGTCATAGGTTGCGTCATCCAAGAAATCCTTGTGGATCTGGGATGAATGTTTGTCTAAGGGGACAAATATAAGTGATCTTAGCTAATAGAAGGCTTTGTGTCAATCGATTGTATTCTTATGATTCACAACTCAAATGTTAGAAAGTCGTTTGGGAACATACGGGCTGCAACCGTGATCGTAATAAATTGTGTCATTTGATGGTAATCACCCTGTTAGAGAGCTCTGGTCGTAATCGCTATTTTGTGGTGTCATTTGGCGGCGAAGCCACACGGACAGAGGACGGGTCATGTTCCTACTGACATGCAATTTCTTTGATTGTGAATATATTGATACATTTAATATGACAGTTGCTCTTTGTGAGCTGAAGTCAATCAGAAGTTTGTCATCCTCAACAAACTGTTGCGAAGGGTAGATGTAATTTACTTTTAGCTTTTAGGTGATTGAATTTTGCTTTACATATTAGTTGTTTTTTTTTTAAAGCTTGATTTTAAAGATTGACTTATCCGGTTGAAATATTGATCAACATAGCCATCATCGGGGACTTGAACATTTTAAAGCTTTTATATTTAAAGGGGGGCATTTAGATTTGTTACTTTAAGCTTTTCAAAATGTCATGTCAACTCCCATTCTTGTATGTAAGAGGATTGGACTAGTGAGGTGATTAGGACTAAATTTCTATTTAAGATCTGTACGTTTATTTCAAAACTACTAAACTCTTCAACTCTAGTCATTGCTAGGAGGATGATTAGACTAGTGTGGTGGGACTTACAAACCTACCCTATAGACAAGGAGTCCTGACTAGCATGGAAGAAATGGCTGGCGAGGGACTTCGTCTTTAGGGTCGCATGGGCATCGGGAAGAAGAACCGCAAGCGCTAGGGCTTTTGCGACCCTTTTTTCTTTACTTTTTTTTTTCTTTTGCCTCAAATATATTGGTTGTCTTCCCCCTTCCCACTAGAAAAATTATTCCATACGGATCGGACACCGCACGCATCTTGCGTGCTGTGTCCGATCTTGACCGTAAATCAAGTGATTTACGGTCAGGATGTATTTCGGTGGGCCCCACCTAAAATTTTTTTCTTTTTTTTTTTAAACTGAAATAATCCTGACCGTAGATCACCGTGATCTACGGTCAAGATCAGACACCGCATGCAGAGATGCATGCGGTGTCCGTATGCAATAATTCCTCCTTCCCACTAAAGACGGAGCACTTGTTTTTAAAATCTTGGTGCGGAGCGGGAGCAGTTTTTGACGAGCCAGACATGCAAATTTCAATTTAATATTAATTAATTTTAATTATATTTAATTAATGACATTATAATTTTTTAATTATTTTTGTGACGTCAACAGCAACTTATACCTGGACTGAATTCAACTGGGTTTGGGCTGAAAAATTAAAAAGGACATGTTGGGTTTTACACTTTTTTTTTGGGTCGTTACTAGTTCAATAGCTCTGTTCTAGTTAGGGCAGGACATCATTTGCCCATGATGAATTAGTTAGAATGGGTTCAAGGATAGGCTTTTCTTAACTATTTTTCTATCTATCTTCATCCTCTCGGATGCACATTGTCTGGTTTAGTCAATTAGCTGATCTCCAATGTTACAGCTGATAATATTTTTTGCAGTCAGTAACCAATTTGACATATCAGCAACCCTGATTTGGTTACTTTTCTGTCAAAACAATTCTCAAGTGTTCATGCATGTGGCTTGGTATATTTTTTTCGGGATTTAACTTGGAATATAGCAATGTAAATATTTTTTAATTTTAATTAATGAACTATTTTTGTATTAGGTTTTATTCTCCACTGAGACATTTGCCATGGGGGTCAATGCTCCAGCAAGAACTGTAAGTATATCTATTCTCTTAAAGCTTTTCAGTTTTGATACTTAGAGAACCATTTGGTCACCTGCATTACCAGAGTATTGCAAAAGAGTTGGATGAAAAATAAATATAGTGTCACTTTTTGATGTATTTGAGACTCATCATTTAGTTCAAAACTCGGTCATTTTTAAATATACTGCATAAGCTGTTGTGGCATGACTGTCATTGCCATCACTACCATGCCCGGCCGCTAGTTATCAACTTGCTCCAGGCAGACTACGTGGCCGCTGCTTGCTACTGGGTTTTACATTAAATTTATTTTACTTAAAACTAAACACAAAAAAGAATTTTCTATGTATTGCACCCAACCAAACTACTTAAAAATGTTTATGATATACTCTATTTCAATTACATTGTATTCCTTTTACTCTATTTCATTTGATAGCTAACCAAATGTCCATTTAAGCAATTATCTTTTCTCTTTAAATCCATCTAAACTGTTTGACAGAACGACGCTTCATCATGTTGGACACCATTTTCATTACTAGAACACTTTGACACAACACAATACGATTTTTAGGCACCATAATTTGGTGCCTCATCTTTTAGAAATATGTCTGCACTTTTTATACAGATCTCTATCATTATTTCGTTACAAACAATGCACAGCCTAACCATTCCAATTTGTTTATCTCTAAATCAACTATATTTTATGTTCTTCACCTTCATTCTTCCTGCCTATTTCTTTGTTAAAGCTATTGACACTTCATGTACCCAATCTAAGCTTATATTAAATCATGCATGAGGAAAAAAATCATACAAGATAATTTTATTTCATTCAATCTAAATAAGGTTCTAAGGGTAGTACTTTGGAGAGTTCTAAAAAAGAAAGGTATTGATATTGCTTATATTCAAGTCATTAAAGTTAATTTACTAGGGCTATTGTCTGTGTTTGAACATAAGGAGGATTGACCAAGTATTTTTCTATTTTAGTTGAATTACATCAGGAATCAGCTTTAAGCCCATATGTTTTTGCTTTAGTTATGGATGTTCTTACCGAAAATTTACTGGAGGATTATGGATGTTCTTACTGGACGTTTATATAAGGATGTACCTAGGTGTATGTTTTTCACTGATATTCTTGTGGATAAGTGTATAGAGAGAGTTTAGGGAAAAATTGGTGGTCACCTTTTGAGTCCATAGCTTTTGGTTTGAGTAGATCTAAATTTGAATACATTAAATATTATTTTAGTTGTAGAAGATCTAATGTCGGTGTTTTAATAATGGGTGATCAAATCATTAAATTGAGTGAACATTTAAGATATCTCGGGTATATTGTTCAAAATGATGGTGATATAGATGGAGATGTTATTAGTAGAATTCAAGTTGGGATGGTTGAAGTGAGGGACTGCATCGAGCCTATTGTGTGATAGAAAAGTACAACTTAGACTAGAGAAAAAGTTTGTAAGATGGTGGTGAGACCTGCAATGCTTTATGACACAAAATGCTAACCTATAAAAGAGAAGCATAGAATTAATTTAAGTGTTGTTGGGATGTGAATGCACAAGTGGTTGAGTGACTTTACACTTAGAGACAAAATGCAAAACGCATATATCTATGAAAGGGTTGGAGTAGCTCCAGTTGCAAACAAGATTAGAAAGAGTCGCCTTAGGTGGTTTGATCAAATTTAACATCGACTATCTTATGACATAGTTAGGAGAGTAGATGTTTTAGATATGACTTATCCTAAGGAAAGGTAGAGGTAGACCTAAATAGACTTGGGCATGTTGTATAAAAGATGATCTTATTTTCTTAGAATTAAATGCAATGTGACACTCAATAGGACACAATGGAGAAAAATGATTCATTTAGCCAACCCCGCTTAGCGTGATAGAGGCTTGTTGTTGTTGTTGTAATCTAAATGAAGGTTGAAGATTTTTTTAACTCACCATTGGGGATTGAGAGTTAGGTTCGATCACATTCTGGTTTGGCTTGTTAACAATTTTTGGTTTTGAAGTTATTCTTCTCAGGTTTGATTTATTTTTCTCTTCTTCCAAACGTTGTTTGGCTACGAATACTGGTATGGAAGCTTTTGTGAAATCTGCTGGAAGGAAACTGAGATGAAGTTGAGGGAAATGCACGGTAATTATTTTCCTAGGGCTCTAATTTCATGATAAAAAAAGTGAAATGATTTGAATTCTTATGTTTAGTTGAAAATCTTATACCCTCATTTATACAGCATGATTTTATTCTATATTATATAAGTCATCATTGATGGCAACTACTTATGTAGTGATTTCTTGATGAATAGTATTAGGAAAAATATTCAAATTATTAGCAATGTTTCTATAAATGTTCCAATGAGAATAAATAAGTGGATAACAATTACTTGCAATTCATGTGATAGTCCTATTGATTGGGATTCCGGGCTTTTGATTTTCCTGCTAATCGGGAATCAAGCTAACACAGGCCATGACTATTGTTGTGATATGTGGACTTCAAGAACATTACAATGGATGCATTTGTTTTATGAGATAATAATGAAAGAACAAATGTGCGTCATGCAAAAAATTAGGCGTGAGCATTCAATCAATTTATTTGAATTGGTTGATGGATTTGTTAAACCAATTAAATCAAAATAAATTTTAGGTAAAATCAAACTGACCAAATTATAAGTATAACCAATTGGATTTGAACTGTAATGTAGTTTGATTTATTCGGTTTAAATTGGTTTTGATAACTAAAAGTCCAAAAGCATATTAAAATATAAGAAAATGAGAAATCAAACATAATCTTTAATATATATATATATATATATATATTGAAAGCCCAAAGGCTAATATATTAAATAAAAAATTGGGTACAGATAGATTTTGTGGAAGGTCCCAAACATAGCACCCAGCCCACACAAAAATCACCAAATCAAATGGTTCCAAAAAAAGAGGAAATACAACAAAAAGTATAAGAGATCTAAATAAAAAATGAAAAGGTGTCAAAATAAGAGTATCAGGTAGCTGGAGAGCAGCAGACAGCTGTAGAGCGACCCGATTTTGCTTTGACTCTGCCTCTAACTCTAGGAAAGGAGCCAGCTAATAAATTGGTCAGATGAGTGTCATTGCCAGTAGTAACCATACCAGTAGTAACCATTGTATCATCCAATAGATTCCCTAGCTCGAGTCGTCCTTCGTTCTTTTTCTTTCTCTTTGTGTTGACCTGTCATTCCTCATCCGAAGATTGACTCACCTGATCAGCAGAATGATCTGAAGTGTGCAGGATATGTGTAGGTTATTGAACATTAGAAGCAACTACTTGTTGTACCAGCTGATCTTCTATCGGGTCGAAAGAGCACTTTCGTGTGTCTTGGCATGTAAGTGGGCTTTCTTCAATAACAGTAAGTGGTATCAGCACATTTGGATTTATACCTGTAGTAAGGTGTTCTTCATGTGGAACTACGATGTTGGAAAGAGGATCGGATTGGACATTCTCAGCAAGGATGGTAGGTGGCTTATCTTTAACGATATTCAGTCTTAGATGGGGATGCAAACGATAGCAAATAGTAGAATTGTGGTCAAACATACTACAATGAGAGTAATAAGGAGGATGTGGTTCTATTTCAACCTTTTGCCAATACCAGTGTAAATAGTGACAATCCATATCTCAGCCGTATATATATATATATATATATATATGCCTTTTGGACGCCTTCTTCTGGCTTGCTACCTGCATTTTCTTATTGTCTCCTTCATACATGTTCAAATGGGTATACTACACTATTTGGGTATACATTTTTAGTGGATACATGTAATTTTGAGATATTGTCCCTATCTTTTATATAATTTTTGCTTTTTTGGGTGGAGTTGTAATGTGAAAGGAGGAACCCCTAGGATTGTGATAATTGTTGTATTTTTCGTTTTTGTAGTGAGGATCCTCATTCCCTCAATTATTTTGTAACCGTCTTTTAATATCAACGCGTAAGGAGCCATTAGTTGCTTATTATGATAATGGAAAAAAAAGCCAAAATGATTGTTAGCGGTCATTTTAGTCCCCATACTCTTTTAATGGGGGATAAAATAATCCTTCTTTTTTAAAGGAGTTGAGATTTAGCTCATATTAAACAAATTTCAACCTTTTGCCAATCCATCACTTTTATAGATTTTGTGAGTAAAATGGCACCTTGTGAAAAGTTAAGGGATCATTTGTACATTTTTCTCTATGATAATTGCATTTCGGTTTTCGATTTAATCTAATGTTTTTTCCTAAAGTTGAACCAGAAATCAAATTTTATATAAACCTTAATTCAAAACCAGTGATTCAATCAACCATATTCGACTCTATTTGATTTTTCGGTTTAAACTTTTTAATGCACACCTTTACAATGAATTTTATATTGGAACATTCATGTTGATCAAAACATTGAGCTTATTATATTTTTTTATCATTTATCTCTAAAAGGTTATAATTTTTGGGACAACAAAAGGCATTTATTGTTCAGGAATGTTAAAATGAGATCTATTCCGTTGTTTAGAGTCTCACATTTGTAAAATTTAGCTCTTAATCCCAAAGGGTTCAGGAAGATTGCTGTTGATTAATGAAGATGAATAATTATTGATTTGTAAGGAAAAGTAAAGTAAACATGCCTGTTAATGTCAATGCAAAAATGCTATAGATTAAAAATCTGTTCTTGTGATTGTAATAAAAATAAGTGCTTAGGAAGGCAAGATTTACCTTCTTAATTTTTATTTTGTCTAGTTTTCATTTAAAAAATACGGCCAACTTCCAAAATTATTTCCCAATTATTTGGATGTGGTCAATTTAGTTACAAAGTTTTACAATTAGTTATCAGGATTGAGGTATCATGCCCACTTTCTGCTATGATTTTATGCATTAAATTATATTTGATCTCTTATGTAATATTCCATGCTTTGAAGCAGTCATTGTTGTTGTCATTATCATCAGCGTTATCCCTAAAATTTGGTTCGGGTCTTATTCATACATTTCGTTGAAATGTTGCATGTGATGTTGACTGAATGAAAGTTTTTCCATGCAAATTTAACCAAATCTTTGTGCTGAAATTTTAAGCTCTCCATGTTCAGGTTGTGTTTGATTCTTTAAGGAAATTTGATGGAAAGGATTTCAGGCAATTGCTTCCAGGGGAATATATTCAAATGGCTGGACGTGCTGGTAGAAGAGGACTTGATGACACTGGTACTGTTATACTAATGTGTCGTGATGATATTCCAGAAGAGAGTGATCTTAAGCAAGTCATGTTTGGAAAACCAACTAGGCTTGAATCTCAGTTTCGGCTAACCTACACCATGATTCTCCATCTTCTTCGTGTCGAAGAACTTAAGGTATATAGTGCTTAATCCTTTTGGGTTATGGTGAATATTTATGGGACAATAGGATGCAATGCAAAATTATAACTTTGGTGTCGAAATCTGCCCTTTGGTTATATGCGTCTTCTGCTTTTTATATGGGACTATGGCTATATGGAGAGTCCTTTTCAAACTTTGAACTTAAAGTTTAAATAGTGGACCTGCTATGTAGAGCAGAAATGCAAGCTTTGAAAAATTTGTAATAGCCTGTTATGAAATTTTATTTAGTTTTAATACAATGTGACATTCAAAATTTAAGACATTATAATATTTTATAAAATATTTCAATTTGAAAGATTCAATGTACTCGAACAGAAATACAAATAAGGCAAACATATACTATTTATATGTTATTATAGAGGGATGAGATTTATTTAGCGTCTTCGTATTAATGATCAAAATTCAGCTTTAAAAATGTGATTTTATGTATTCTAGAATTAAAAGAAAAATGGTATCGCCCTCTCAGCAATGTATGAATAAGACTACATGCCTACAATCTCTCCTCATTTCTCTCATTATTGATGGGAAGCCTTTAAATTCCCTTTTTTTGATATAATATAAATTAAATATATCATTTTGAACAATTTTCAAATAATTATACATGCACAAGCATACACGCAGGCGTGTATTCACCCTTTCATGTACACAATCACACTCACAGGCTCAAGGGCGTGTGCACATACAATGTACATGCTTAACCAAGTATAATATTTTATTGCCTCCAGTATGCATCAAATAAGAATTTTAAGCTTCCAGCATATTATGCTTTTATCCTAAAGTTTTCAAATTTTATGAGCCTTATCAAGCAATTTTTAACAAATGTTGTGAAAATTAAAAGATATCATTACTTACCATTGTCCAGAAGCGGACCTTCTTAAAAAATTTTCTCTCCCATTGTCATTCTCTATAACTGTTTTCCTTTTCCAGAACTTTGATTTATAACTATTTTGCATCTAGTCCTATCTTGTCGCAACTCTTATATGAGCTGCTGTTAAGGCCTGACAAAATTCTGGCATTTGTTCGCCGCTCTATGCTGTGTGCTTGAGTGCAATGGCTTCATATAAACGTCTTAGTATTATATTGCTTCCTGCCCTTCTTAGAAATATCCAATAGCAGTTCTCTTCCTTTTCACATGTTTTCATTATACATTCAATCAATGATTTTCCACATCCATGTTATTTTATTTTGTAGGCGATGGAACTTTACACCCATATGGGAATGTAAAGATGTGCTTCAGATTTTAGTTGGTAATACATTAAATTCATGTTAGAACATTGCAATTTGCGATATCCACTAGCTGTTCCCTTCCTTTTCACATGTTTTCATTATACTTTCAATCAATGATTTTCCGCATCCATGTTATTTTATTTTGTAGGCCATGGAACTTTACACCCATTTGGGAATGTAAAAAAAAACTTTGATTTGTATGATAATTTGTTTAGCAGCTATTACTACAATAAAAACACTTATTATTATAGAATTCTCCTTATGGTTAGATAGGAATTATGTTAACCCCAAAGGGATCAACCTAAACCATATGGGAATTTTAGCTAGCGTGAATGATAAAGTTACGAGGAGAAATATTACAAAATTTTTCCCTGATTTTGTTGCATCATGTTAACTCTACATCCATGGACTTAGGTGCTTGAATTGCAGCCATTTGGTCTCAGATTGGATGTTCCATAGCTATTCATTGTTGCTAGATTGCCAATCTCCCAAATCGAGCTAGCTAATCCTGCATTGCATTGTGGAAAAGTGCTGCACATCAGCACTGGCTTGTAAATCTTATTAGTTGATTTATACTAATCTTTTAACTCCTATATTTAATAAATTGTATTGAAAAATTTATAAAGCGTAGATTCATTTAAAATAATTTAAAAATAGTCTTAAGTAATTTAAAAATTATTATAGAATTTATAATTTTTCTAAGGTTTGGGGTGATTATTAAATAGTCTTAATTAATTTAAAAATTATGAAATTATTATGGGGTGTTCTATTGATTGCTAAGGGCGGCTAATGTATTAAATCCCATGCTATTTGGATTTTATTAAGGTTGTTTGATCATTTTTCAAACCTTAATGGTAATTAAATAGATTAATTTATTTTTTTTAACTTCTAAAACCCATAATTTGGTGAATTAAATTCTTAACATTGTAAAATCAAAACCAACGAGTTAAAAAAAAATTGTAGCTTAAGATAAAAATAATCTAAATTGTTTCCATTGACCAGAAAGTGAGAAAATTTTATTTTTTAAAAAATTTTGAAGTTCTAAAAGAATAGGTTTAATTCCTAATAGTGTCTAACCTTCATGTGTATTGCATTTAGGGTCCACCAAGTTTTTTTGTACATGGTTTTTTGACCATTAAACTTATTTGGAACCCCCCCTTTATTATCCCTTTGTTCAAAAGATTAGACCAAACCTAGTTTGACACAACTTCACTTGGGTTTCTTATTGCTTTATCTTTTCTTACTTTATATTGTTGTTCCCTAAAATCTCTTTAGGACCAAATTCCAAGCCCATTATATTCATTTACTTATCCCAAATAAGCTGAATGATCTCATCCCTCATCGGGCCAAATACTAGCAGTCTCCACTTATTTGATGTGATGAAACAAGTATTGTCAATATGCATAAACCCAAAATCTCAGATTTCTCTTTGAGCTTAAAATCTAAAACTATTAACCAAAGCTATTCTTCTTATGCCCAAAAGCCTTAGAGCTAAATTATGGTTTTGGGTCGAAAAGATATCGGCCCTACCGGTTTATATACAAGCAAAGGATTGCATTTAATGAAACTCAAAACATTGAGGGACTCTAATGTTATCTAAGGTGAGTAGCAGGAAAAGGAAGCAGTACGCAAACTGAAAATATCACAATTATTCATGAACATAAAAAACTTTTTTGTGTTGAGAGACACTCTGTTTATGAATAGTATGTTAAATTTCAACTAAAAGAGGCTATAAAAAAAAAAGTTGTTACATAACTTTTTTTTTTCTTTTGAATCTGAGGCATTTTTTTTTGTGGTTATATAATGAGGAAGAGGTTGCTTCTTTAATTCTCTTGTTTAGGCTTATGTTAGAAGGTAATAGTGATACAAATTTTTTAGATTTTTTTTGTGTGCAGTGATTGAGGGGTATTTCTTTTTTATATTTTATTTGAACAACCATGATACATTTGTTTGTTCCTTTAGTCTGTTTGTTCTAGGTTTATGCTTTATTTTCAATGTTTGATTTTTAGAACTTCAGGTAGAAGACATGCTGAAAAGAAGCTTTGCTGAGTTCCATGCTCAGAAGAACTTGCCTGAGAAGAAAAAATTACTTCTTTTAATGCTATCTGAAACTAACAAAATGATAGAGTAAGTTCTACGAACTCATGCTTATGACAACACTTTGTAATTTAAAATACCGGGTTCTGATTTCTAATTCTTGCATTGTAAACCAACCATATGCTTGCCATTATATTTATTTTTCTTTAAAAATCATCATTTTAATGCATTGTGTAAATCATGCTGTTTGTTTTATTGATATCATGATAATTTCCTTTTTGTTTGAAAATGATTTTACATTGGCAGACCTCTTGTTTTTTATGGCTAGCTTAATTTCATTTATCGGTGATATACCCAATTGTGAAGGCACTATTGGCAATTATTCTATTTAACAAAAAATCTTCACGATTTTATTAACATGTTTGCGCGCAGTTTGAATATAGGAATCCACTTCCAAGAAAGAAGCTTCCATCTTCGAATACAATAAAGCTACTCTATTACAAAGAAAATTAGAATATCATATAAACATGGATTTTTTTTATCCCTAATAAATTATGTTATCCCGACAAAATGAAGTTTATTATCTTGCTAACTAATTATGTATCATATTGTCTTAATTCTTGCATGGATATCTTAAATCTTCAAATATTTTCCAATAAAATTTAATGTAGACCCCACCCTTCGCACCCCCCTCCTGAGCTCATTCCAAAGTCAAGACATTTTCACGTGGTCTGATTGTTTGCTACTTCTTGAATTAACTTTATTTCTTTGAAACTTCTTTGCGGGTGAATGGAATGGGTTTTGATACACCTAAAATTTTTGCAGTGATTTCTTTTAAAATAATATATTCTTACTGTGATTGATGATTGTGTTCCTATCTTTATAATCCATATTTAAATTATGTTGTACTAACTTCAATAAGTCATGTTTCATTGATGTAACAATATGCCAAACATGCTCAAAATAGGTGACACAGTAGCTCACCGCACGCAGTTACTATAGCAGCCACAATACCGAGGATGTGTTACTATAGCTGCTATAGTAACCGCGGTCCTCCTTTCCTCTTTATTTCCTTTCCTTTTCTTTTCTGATGTCCATTATAGTTTATTTCCTTCTCTACTTCTTTTCTATTCCTGTCCTTGCCTATTATATCTCTTTCCTATTCTATTCTTTACTTATTTTATCTACCAATCCCCTCTTTATATAAATGCTTTTTTATGTTAAAATAGGCGGTTTTGGGATAATTTTTGCTTTCAGCTACTGCCTTTGAGACGTTCTTCCCCTCTGAGGGCTGTATCTGACGTGAGAAGGTGCTCCGGCTGTCACTCATCCGAGGTGGTGACCGTCTGTTCAGTCTCCAAGGGTCCGGGTGGTGCTCTAGCTGTAGTTTGACCCCGACGAGACATTCATTTTTCCACAACTCCCTCTCCCATGCAGTCTAGTAGTAGCCAACTTGCTACCCTCCCTCTGGCTCACCTTCAGCGGGCCGACATCCTTCTCCACACCTTCCCATAGGATGCCAGCTTGTCGTTCCCCTTCAGCTTACCTCTAGCTTTACGCTAGTCGACCCCTATGCCTTCGAGCAGTTGTCTGCTTGTTGCTTCCGCTTCCCTACTGTCAAACATGTTGTTCCTTCCGGTATCAATAGCTTCCTAGGGTTGTAGGCTAAGTAATTTTCAAAGAAGTTCCATCTTAGAGATCCTCATATATATATATATATATATATATATATACAATTTATATTCATTATTAAATTAGAGCCTCATATTTAAGTTAGAAAATATTATGCTATTAATATATAATCTTTGTAGTTAGAAAAAATTTTTAGAATCATGATCATAGATAAATACAATAGGTTTCCCTGAAATTTTTATTTTTTTGTTTAATTGTAGATCTCCTTATTAGCTTCGCTCGTTGAAGACGTAATATCGGGCATGACTAGGGCTATCAGAACGGCTCGTTGTTCGGGAACAACTCGTGTTCGACTTGTTAAGAAACTTGTTTTCGGCTCGTTCGCTAAGTTAACGAGCTGAACAAGAACAAATATTTGTTCGTTCGTGTTCGACTCGTTTTAGCTCGAAATACTACTAATCAATTATATATACATCTTTGATGAGTAGTATTTTTTTAAAATTTAGTTGACTACAAGGCTACAAAGATTAGAATAAAAATTAGGAATTTATTAATGAAGAAAATTAAAATGATGTTTTAAATCTTGCCCCAATCCTTAACATCTTATGGCTATGTGATTAGGGTTGTCAAAATGTCTCTTTGTTCGTGAACGGCTCGTGTTCATCTGAACGAGCCGAACACGAACATACTTTTTGAGCTCGAAATATAAACGAGCCGAACACGAGCTCGTGTTCAGCTCGTTTACACCCCTAGGCAAGACAACAAGTTGCTCATAGCTAATTTACATCAATCACTACTGAAGCCACCCAAACGATGTTTTTTTATGAAACGAACAATATGATAGTCTTTGGAATATCAAAATTATTTAAGGAGGTCTTTCATGATTGAAAGGAGCAACTACAATTAAAACGAGCTGCCACCATGGCATGCTCAATTCGAGCCTGAATAGTCTCAACCATCGCTGAGGTTACTCAAACAATGTATGATCGCGCAACAAGCCAAACAAGTGTGTCTGGAATGTCATAATTATATAGAAATTATACATGTATTGCTTAATCTTTGCAAACAAAGTGATGTCACATATTTCGGAACTTGTAAATCAAGTTGACAAATAAATTGAGACTGATAAGGGATGAGAGGAATGATAAATGGCCATCACTTTAATTGTTTCTGAGAAAATTTGGTTAGACACACAACATCATGGATATTGGCAGAAGGTTGTGATTGAGTCTTTCCCTTCGTATTGCTCAAATTGTTGCATGTTCGGTCACTCCATTTCTCAATGTCAACATTTACACCCCATCTCATACCAAAGAAGCAAATTGCTCAGCCAGAGGCAGTGATTCCCCCTCCTCCTGATCTGCGCCAAGTTATTGACATTATTGATCATCAGACGGGTTCTCCTGAAGATGTCATTATCTTCGCAGGTAATATGTCAACCTTTCAGTCTCCACATAATCATGATGTAGGTTCCCCGTCAGTGGAACCTCCTTTCCCTGGGGTGGGGGAAACACTTCAGACTTCACCTGCTCTAGAACCTATCATAGATGGAACGAGTGGCAATATCTTTACTGCGCTTCCACCTGATCCGGACGAACATGTTGTTACTGTTACTCAAGCACATGGGGCTCATGTGCAACAATCTACACCTGTTCAACCACCTTTGGACCAATCAACGATCAGATGAGTCAATTCTCGGATGAAGAATGACAGGTTTATAAATCTTGGAAGAAGAAGAAGAATAGAGGCCTATTACCAAACTTGATGGATGATACATTAGTTGTTTTGGGTAATGACACCAAACTTAACAATTTATTAGCTGACCCTCGTCCTAGAACTAGAGGCAAAGGCAAGGCTAAATTGGATCTTTCGCATGCTAACTAAACCTGCTAGTGCTAGCAGACTATTGGTGTATTTTTTTGTATACATGTATTTCTATGTGTGTGTTGTATGCCGAATGTTTAGGGTGTCATTTTGGGCCATTTAATTTGTACCTTTCCTTTTATTAATATATTCATCTTTCGGCTTTCTCAATATATATATAATACATACATATATATGTACACACATATACATATATATATATATATTAGAAAAAACCCGATGGCAAACATATTAATACGGAAAAGATATAGAAATGTTGTATGAGAGAGTCTAAAAGAAAGTCTAACTCATATAATGCAACACACACAAAACTCAGATAAAACAAAGATACATAAATGTCAAAAACCAAAAAGCCACAAAAGGGCACAAAAAGTGTTAGGGCTGTCATACTTTAGTCCTCATGTCTCTAGTTCTCGGAACTTAGCCGACTAACAAATTAGTAAGGTGAGTACCATTGCCCGTAGTAACCAAAGTATCATCCATCAGATTCTTGAGCTCAAGTAGATCTTCATTCTTCTTCTTCCTCCTGGATGTAAAGACCAGCCATTCCTTATCCGATGATTGACTTATCTGATCAGTAGATTTCAAAGGTGGTTGGACAGGTGTAGGTCGTTGCACGTTTTGATCCCCATGAGCCTGAGTAATGTTAACATCTTTCTGAACCTGATGAGGCGGTAGTGAAACAGTAGAAGTATTCTCATTTGTATTATCAGTGATAGTTTCTAGGGCAGGCCGGGTTTGAAGAAATTTCCTCTCCCCCACGATAGGAGGTTCCAAAGATAAGGGAGCTACAACTGGGGACTGAATAGTTGTCATATTGCCTACATGGATAGTGACGTCATCTGAGATATCCTTCTGATGATCAATAGTGTCAAAAACTGGGAGCTAATGAGGAGATGAAATCACAATCTTTAGCGGAACAATTTGCTTTTTCGGTCTGAGTTGGGGGTGTAGATAGTGACATTGAGAATTGGGGTGTTCGAACATATGACTGTTCGAACAATAGGACGGAAAGTGTTCAATCTCTACCTTATGCCAATATTCATGGTGTTGTGTGTCTAACCAGATTTTCTTAGAAGCAGGTGAAGTGATGTCTCTTTCAACAAGTACTCTGGCTTCAGAAGGACGGGACAGATTAAAAGTATGAATGTTCGTCTTGAGTGGCTTCCCATAAGCTGAGGCAATAAAGTACAATACTTTTTGAGAAAAATAATGAAATTTCATACCAGAGAGACGAATCCAAACTGAAATGATTGGTGGTTCCGTCTGTGGGTCAAAATCCACAGACCATTTCAGAATTTTCACTGTTCTGTTATCAATTCATATTATCATTCTAGCAAATAAGCGCATATAATCGTCTTCATTAATAATTTGAATAAGAATATGTCTCTCATATAATAATCTAATTTTTCATTCTCCAACAGGGTGCATAAGTTCAATTTTTTTGTGAATGAGCTTCATTTTGGGATGATCATATAGAAATTTCCCAACCAAATTCAGACGACAGGATGAAGCAAGTTGAATACCTTCAGCTTCTGTAAAAAAGATGTCAGACTTTTCATTCTTCCTATAGG